CGGGCGGCCCCATGTCCTGGTTCGCGCTGGCCGGTGACCCCGCGCCTACGCTGCTCCCGCCCGGCAGCTCCGCGCTCGCCGCCGCTACTGCCGCCTAGCAGCTCCAAAGCCTGCCGCCGCGCCCCGCCTCATTAGCATGCCGGCTGCGCGCGCCTCATGAATATACAACGGCGACGCCTCGCTCCCGCCCGCCTGCCCCACTTCCGCCCGGACCCGCAGCCCCTACCAATGGGCGAAGGAAGGGGGGTTGAGGGAAACCGCGGAAGCGCGCTACCTGCCCGGCGGGCCTAACCATTCAGACCCACGTGGGGGGGTGGCGAGTGGGCGGTGCAGCTCTCCGCGGCCGCAGTGGAGAGCAACGCCCCCTGGCGTCTGGAGCCGCGCACTTTCCGCTCCCACGCAGCGCCCACGTGGCTGCAAAGCCTGGACCTTCTCACAGCCCAGATCCAGGATATTATTTTCTGAAACAAGTTATCACATGAAAAAGACCATTATCTTGGCAGAAAATGTAGTGCCAGGCTTTACTGGATAACTCAGTTTTTACATGTGCAATACTCATCTGGCATAAAGAAAAAAAAGTGACAGCTACTATGTATTGAAAGCTATGTGCCAAGAAGAGTTTAGTCCAGGGCAAGTGCGACTCTGAACCAGACTAGCTCTGAGATTGCCTAAGTCGCCTGGTTTTGATTCTAGGTCAGCTACTTTCTAGTTGTTTCTAATCTGGACCATGTGCCTAAACAGTAATCACAGTTACCACTCACCACTCCTTGCTCTATGACACACACATGCAAAGCATTCTACCTGCATTTTCTCACGCAGTCCTCACAATCCCACGTAATAGATTTAGCTAGTCTCACCATTTTTACAAATAGGAAATTTGGACTTGGGAATTAAATGTTCAAAGATATAATTGATACAAAATTTCTGCCAAACCCATTTAGCCAGGATTCTCCACCTTCATCAACCACACATGACTGAAACCCATGGGTATGCTCCAAGAGTTCTGTCCTTTGTTCTTCTAGCAGGATTTTCTCCCTCAGCAATTTCATCCATCTTCACAAACACGTCTAGCTCTTGTGTGAACGTCACCCTGCATGCAGTAGGCTTTCTCAGTATAGACTGAATCATCTTTCACGTGCCCATTAGCAAATTCAAAACAAAGCAGAAAACCCGGAAGTCCTCTTCTCCCTTTCTTAAACTAACAATCTGCATAGGTTTGTCTACCTCTTAACCAAAATGCTCTATTACCTTCTACACAAGTTATCTTCAAAAAGTTTACGGAAAAACAGGAAGTATGAGTTTATTTTGGTGCAAAAAATATTTTTTGAAATCCATGCATAACTTTTTTATAATACCTTATTTCTGCTAACTTTTTAAGATTATTTAATTTTATTTATTATTATCATTATTTAATTTGACCAGAGAGAGAAAGAGGGGGAGAGAGAGAGAGACGGAAAGAAAGAAAGCAAGCTTCCAGGCCCAGGACTTCAACCATGGTTGGCCATGTGGGAGTCCAGCACCTTAACTACCATGCCACCTGCTGGCCCCTTCTGTTAACTTTTTAAAGACCTTCTTGTATATAAGATAATCCATATAGAATAAACACATAGGGAGGGCCTAAAAAGACAAGCGGTGAATTAATGTATAACTATTGTTTTTATTACATGTATGATCACCCCATTTTTTTCTCCCTTCATACATAGCTAGCTAGCATGAATTAATATTTTCAGAGAGGCAAAAGGTACAAAAAATACCAACATGGTTTATTGGATAAAAAGTGGTAAAATGGACATAAAGCCAAAAGTTAGAACAAGACATTTGTGCCTTCTCCCCCCACTTGAAACCACACCACCCGTCATCTGGGGTTAAGGTATCTAAGGTTAAACCTCACTCTTCACCTGTTCTGGAAGCAAGGCCCATAATAGTAGAACTCAAGAGAAAAGGAAATAAGAGGCAACTGAGGCTGTCTACCTCTTCATCCCTAAAATGTTCTGGGTTAGAGAGAAGCAAGGAAGGAATGAGGGGCCAGAGGGGCTCGGGGTTGGCCTCTGGGGTCCACTGTCCATAATGTCCAATAGACAGCTATCCTTGTTCCCACCTCACCCCTAACTGGTACCACTGTCAGGCCTTGGAAGAGAAAAGAAAAGGGGCTGGATGGTTCTAGAACCAGATGTGGCCTTCAAATCCTTCCTCAGACTTAGAAACAGTACTGGGGGTGATCAGTCCAAGGTTGGGGGAAGCCACATCTTTTCCCTTCCACTTAACCAAGATGTGAAAAGGAATTCCATGCGACAAAGCATCCCATGCCGCTTTTAAATCTCCACATCACTCTCTTTGTCATTGTCGTGGTCTCCATCATAGAATTCATTGGGTGCCTCAGGCCTGCAAAGCAAAAGGAGAGATGTTAGGATCCCACTCTCGAAGTCCCAGGCTTCTCCCAGCACCCACCCTCTACAGCGCTATTTCTAAGGTCCTCTCTCAGAATCACACCTCTCCCCTCTTCCTAATGGTGGACACTGATTGCTGTTCATTCATCCACTATGAGTTTATAGAGGGACTGCTCTGTGCTAGGCATTGTCATAGGCCTTAGAAATTCAGTAGAGAAGAGGCCAGATGGGTCTCTCAAAAAGTTTACCTATTAAATGAGACCAACAAAAACCAACAAAGTAAACAAATACGATAATTTCCAATGGCGAAGTATGCTATGAATGAATGAAAACAAAGTGACACAACTGAGTGCTATAGGAAGAAATGTGTGAAATTTCAGGCAGGATTGTTCTAAGAATGTAAGATCTGAAGTCTGAAAAGGAGCTGACCAGGCAAAGATCTCAGGAAGACATTCTAAGCTGCAAGAAAAGCAAGTACAGGCATTATGAGTTGGAAAAAGACTGATGCAGGGAACCAGCAGTTAGTGTAATGGCTATGTCACTGGACTCCCACGTAGTCGACCACGGTTCACATCCCAGACCCGGTGGCTTAAAACTCACGCCGGGCGCGTGTGAATGTGTGCCCAAGATCCCGAGAGGAGAATGGAGGAGAATGGAAGAGAAGGGATTGCGGCGTGACCATCCCTCTGGGGGGTGATTTCTCGCTTTCTGTCTCTATGTCTCTCTCTGTCTGTCTGGCGAGTGCACGTGCCCTATAGCGAAAACCTCTCCAAAAAAAACCCAAAAAGACTGATGCAGTCCAGGAGGACGGGGGGTTGGGAACAGGGTGCATGGAGAGTTGTTAGAAAAGCCTAGCATGGGGGGACCAGAAGTTAGTGTAATGGCTATGTCACTGGACTCCCATGTAGCCGACCGCAGTGCGAGTCCCGGACCCAGTGGTTTAAACTCACGCCAGGCGCGTGTGCGTGCGTGCCCAAGATCCCCAGAGGAGAATGGAGGAGAAGGGATTGCAGCGTGGCCATCCCCCCAGGGGATGAGTTCTCACTTTCTATCTCTCTGTCTGTCTCTGTCTTTCAGGAGAGAACACGCACCCTATAGCAAAAACCTCTCCCAAAAAAAAGAAAAGGCTAGCATGGGGCCAGCATGTGGCATGGTAGTTAAGATGCTGGACTCCCATGTGGCCAACTATGGTTTGAGTCCTGAACCTGATGGCTCACTTTCTCACTTTCTCTCTCTCTTTCTCCCTCTGGTCAAATTAAAAGATAAATAATAATAATAAATAAATCTTTAAAAAAAAAAACAAAGAAAAGGCTAGCATGGTCAGAAATTTGGATTTTCTTCTGTGTAAAAAGAAAGGGAGAATTTTAGGCAGAAGAATGACATGATGTTATAAACCTTTAGAGAGGGACCAGCAGCAGAAAGTGTAATGGTTATGTCACTGGACTGCCATGTAGTTTGAGTCCCGGGCCCAGCGGCTTAAAACTCAAGCCTGGTTCGTGTGCATGCATGCCTAAGTCCCAAGAGGAGAGGAAAATGGAGGAGAAGGGATTGCAGCATGGTCATCCCCCTGGGGGATGAGTTCTCACTTTCTGTCTGTCTCTCCAGCAAGCGCATGTGCTCTATACCAAAAATCTTAAAAACAAACAAACAAACAAACAAAAAACACCTGTAGGGAGAGAAGGGATGCAAAAACACAGGGTCTACTAGGGACTCAGTTTTTGTTTTCTCCCTTTTTTTTGAAAACCTATTTTTTAGGAGAGAAACAACTGAGAAAGCCATCGGGCAGAAGCTAAGGAACTAAACCAAGAAATGCTCTACCATCTTGGTAAACAATGTCTTAAAATCACCTCTACGTATACAAGGGTTAATCACCTCTACGTATACAAGGGTTAAAGTACAGAGTAAGAGACTCCCATCTGGAGCTCAGACTTAGAATTCAGCTGTGTAACCTAAGGAAAGTCACTTACCATCTCTGAGTCTTAGATTCCTCCCCTGGTAATTGAGGGTAAGAGCCATTGGGATTGTCTGATGGCAACAGAACTACAGCCTGAAAGTACGTGATATTGATATTCATATTCATCTGGTGCTTAACAAACCCACAAAAAGTGGTAACTTGTAATTACTCCTTTGCAAATCACATAGGAGCTGGAGCTATAGGCATCAAAGAACAGGAACTCTGTGGGTGTTCTGACGGTGAAGCAGGGCTTAGAAAAGAGGCCTGAGGCTTCTGCTGCCTGTTGAAAAAGCAGTGGTATAATGTGGAAACTAGGCCCAGATGCCAGCCTGGAACTGTAAATGAAAAAGCCAAACTGGGACAAAAGGACAAACCTGAAAACAGGTCTTGCCTGGGGTCAGTGGGTGATGTGGTGGTGAAGGCATTGGATTCCCACATGGCTGTCTGGTTCGAATCCTGGACTTGGTGGCTTGCTTTGTCACTTTTCTTTTTTTTCTCTCCAAAAAAAGAGAAAAGGCTAGCATGGGGCCAGCATGTGGCATGGTAGTTAAGACAGCATGTGGCCAACTATAGTTTGAGTCCTGGACCTGATGGCTCACTTCCTCTCTTTCTCCCTCTGATCAAATTAAAAGATAAATAATAATAATAAATATTATTTATTTCCCTCTCTCTTTTTTTTTTTTTTCCTCTCTTTCTGGTGAGCATATGTGCCCTGTGGCAAATTAAAAAGTGAAAATGAAAATATATAAAATTAAATAAACAATTCTCTAAAGCAAAACAAAAAACAGGTCTTGCCAAAACAAACCAGATACCAAAAATAAGTTTCCAGAAGTCAAGCTTTAGAGACCTGGAGAAGTGGAGGAGATAACGGGTCAGAAAGGAAGCCCTGGTCTAGCTGGTGGCATAATGGTTAAAGTGACTGGATCACAAACGGCCTACCGTGTGGTTTGAGTCACAGATCCAGTGGTTAGAGTTCAGACTGAAAAACATGGCGGGCATGTGTTGTGTGCATGTGTGCCCTAAATCCCAAAAGGAGATCGGAGGAGAAGGGATTGTGGCATGCATGCAGGGGGCGGGGAGGTGCTTTTTCACTTTCTCTCTCTCTACAGAGAATGCATGTGCTCTCAGCAAATTAAAAAATAAATAAATAAATAAAGGAAGCCCTGAAGCCAGATGTTCAGATACTGCCTTACCTAGGAGATAGAATGAGGGGAAATCCATGGAGGAGGGGAGTTGGAGAGGTCCCCAGGGTCAGAGCAGTAGAGCCCAGGTCTAGAGGAGAGACGTAGAGACCTGAATTCTAGGACAGAGAAGTGCATTCTGCCAGGGTCTGAGAAGCGTATCAGACGGCGGCAGAAACAGCAGAGGCAGCTCAAACCTCTAACACCGCATGAGAGTAGGATCGAGTGTTCTGCAAGTGTCCACGGAGGTTATTCCTCAGTCACGCAGGGAAACTTGTACTTTTTCAGCGTTTCTGGGTTTTGTTGCTTTTTTCATTTTTCAAGAGATGCTAATTTTGAGATTTGAAAAAAATTCTTTTTTTCTCTAATTCATTCCACCATCTATAAATATTTTAGTATGTGTCCCAGAAAGACAAAAACTAAAAAAAAAAAAAAGAAAGAAAGAAAAGAAAAGAAACCATAATATAATCATCACACCTGAAAAAATTAACAGCAAAGAAATGCCTTAGAGTGCAGTGCAGTAGATGGGCGATGGCCTGTCCAGCCTGAGACCTGGAGGGACTGAGTAAAACGCTGGCAAGAATGTAAACTGCGACAGACTTTTTGGAAAGCAATTTGGCAGAAGATATAAAAAATGTTAGCGCACTCAGCCTACAAGCTAACAGCAACAATTCTGGGGATCTTACACCAGTATGAAAAGATGTATATGTAAAAGGTTCATTGCCGCGTTATGACTGCAGTAGCAAAATCTGGGAAATAAGGTACATGTCCATCAGTGGTAACTGAGTAAAGTGTGCTAAGTCCACGCAATGGACTATTACACAGCTGATAAAATACTGAAGCAGATCTATACACATCGACAGAGAAAGATATACTGTCTTATGAAAAAAAAAAGAACCAGCTGTAAGTAGTGGAGCAACATGTACAGAATGAGCTTACTTATATTATAGTAACACACTCACACACACACAAAAACACACACAAACAACACACTAGGAGTGTGTATTCACTTATATGCACATGTAAAACAGTGTAATTTTAACTTATAGAAAAGGGTATGTCTGGGATCAGCAGATGGCTTTGTGGTTACATCTCTGGACTTCCACATGGCCAACCATGGTTTGAATCCCGGATCTAGTGGCTTCAAAATCATGCCAGGTGCGTATGCATGCATGCCCAAGATCCCGGGAGCAGAATGGAGGAGAAGGGATTGCAGCATGGCCATTCCCCCTTGGGGGTAATTTCTCACTTTCCCTCTCACTGTCTCTTTCTCTCGCTCCTTCTCTCTCTCTCTCTCCAGAAGTGCATGTGCCCTAAAGCAAAAACCTCTTAAAAAAAAAAAAAAAGTTTGTCTGAAAGATACAAACTATTAACAGTGATTACTTCTGTGAAATGGGCCTGAGACTGTGTGAATGCAAATTTACCATATTTGATGACGTCTAAATTTTTTAGAATAAAGGTGTTCCTTCGTCACCGAAAAGGGCAAAAATAGAGCGGAGGACTAGTAGCAGATTATAAAAGGAGGTAAGCCAGGGACAATTAAGTTCATGCCTTCTAATTTACTTTTTCCTTTCTAAGCCTTCCCAATAAGCCTGCTAGAACCCCCTGCTCCTAAGCCCCTTCCCCCAGACCTGCTGTAGTTCTCCTCAGGACCCCTCTCCTCTGCATCAGCCTCGTCAGTCCTGTCATAGGTCAGGAGGTCGGCAGGCACATCATGAATTTGGACGCTAGGCGCATGGTTCAGCATCTTCAGGTTTTCAAAGATTGTCTGGCGGATCTGGTCCAGATACTGGTTGGAGGTAAGGAACAGAGAATGAGCCGCTCCCAGTGATTCTCAGGGCTTCCCCCTTCTAGCTGTTTTCCACCTCTACTGTCCTGGTTTTAATCGTGGTGGTATTTCTACTTCAGGTCCCCCGGTTGCTAACTTCCTCTCCCCACAACCCCTAGGGTGGTTCCCAGGTTCAAGTAAACATGATGGCTTAGAATTCAGAAACCTCTTTGGTTTCTACTTCCCACATCCTGCACCTTTCCTGGGCTCTCCCACCCTCATATAAGCTTCTCCAAGCTGCTGACCTGGCGTGAGTTCTGATTCTCGATGCGGGTACTGACGTCTGGATGAAGCGTGAAGTCTGGTGCAAAGTACTCGAAGTATTCTTGTAGGAGAGAGGAGATTAGGAGAAAGGATGGCTCAGACCAAGACAGGCGTGTCTCAAGATTTCCCAGTCTCTTTCTTTTCCATCTGGATCCCCTCCACAATAGCTACCCAATCTTTTCCCTGCTCTGAGCCCAGGGGTTTAGTCTGCAGCACCCTGAGAGTATAAAAACTTCCCATCTGCCTTCAAACCAAGTCCTTGTGGGATCTGGTAAGAAAGGCCATCCTGCTGTGGGGGTATCAGAGTGGTCCTTACCACTATAGGGAAGCTCCTCACTAATGGCCTCTTCTACCAGCAGCGATGTCTCATATGTCCTGAAACCAACCAGCAGAGGGGGCAGGCTAAACAAGTGGGCTGCACGGCCCGCCAGGCTGTTATCTCAGGGAGCCCTAGCTCACATGTACCACAGGAGAGAGACAATCGGGAGGATGCTCACCAGCAGCGGGCAACATTTCGGACAGTATAGCCACCACCACCCAGCACCAGGAGAGGGATATTGAAGCTCTTGACATATTCAACACATTCCCTGTTAAAAGGAACCGGAAGAATGAATGGAGCAACTTATCAAAAGCCAAAGTATATGCCTCTAGATACTGTCTGTCTGGAAAGGGGCACAAAGGAACTATAAATATCCTCTATCTTGATCTGGGGGGCAAATTTTATGAGTGACATCCTTAATATCTGTGTACTTTCTTCTATACATGCCATGGCTCAATAAAAAAAAAATTTACAATATGGGAGGTGTTCAAAAAAGTTCATGGAAAAGACATATTGTAAAAATTATGTGTAGATTTCAATTTTTTGCATCAAAATAATCTTGTACTTTAATTCCATTTGTCCGTTAACTTTTGAAGTCCCTTCACAAAGCACACTCTAGCCTCTATGCTGCTCAGTACCCTCTCTAACACCCTGTCAATCAACTACTCTTATCAATGTACCAACCAACAAGTTTTGTTGGGTCTAGCCTTCAATTATAACTCAAACCATCCACTTCTATCACCTCTTCTACTTTGGTCCAGACATCACATCTCCTGCCTAGGTCATCACACATGGCTTTCTCCAGGGTAGTTTGAATCTTGGTTCCATGGGCTTGAAAAACAGGTTGGGCAGGCCTAAGCACCCAAAATCCTGATGGAGAGGAGGAATTGGAGGAAGGGGGATTGCTGCATGGCCACGTTCTATTGGGGGGTGCTTTCAGCCTGTCTCTCGCTGTGGCAAGCACAAGTGCCCTCTGGCAATTAAAAAATAGGAGGGGGAGATCTGGCCCATAGCACAAATGGCTTCCTAACTGGTCTCCCCACTACTACTTCTGTCTCGCTTACCCTACCCCAAACCTTTCTCCATTCAGCAGCCAGAACAAGCCACTTTAAGACACAAGTTGACAGGGCCATCAGGTGACATGGTGTTAGGGCACTGGATTCCACATGGACAATAGCAGTTCAAGTCCTGGACCCAGTGGCTTGGGTATGTGCTACATGCCCAAACTGTGTTGCATGCCCAGAACCTCGAGAGAATGAAGGAGAAGGGATTGTGGTGTGGCCTTCCCTCTGGGGGGTGATTTCTCACTTTCCCTCTCACTGTCTCTCCTGGTCTTTCTCCTGCGAGCACACATGCCCTATGGCAAAAACCTAAAAACAAAAAAAAAACCAAGTTGGCTCATGTTACTTTCCTGTGTAAGATCCTTTAAAGGTGTCCCATCAACTTCGGAATCAAATTCAATCTCCTCACTCGGGCACAGGCTCCACACAACCTCAACATGGCCAGCTTCTTAGACTTCACCTCAACCTACCTCCAGCTTGCTCCCTGTGTTCTGGCCTCACCAGTTCTATTTCACCTCCTCCACTACATCAGCTCTGCCCTGACTCAATAGTTCATGGACCTGTCTCACTGTTTGAGACAGACTTCTCTCTGCTCCTTTTGTGGCTCTCTCCTCCTGAGCCCTCAGGTCTCAGCTCAAATATCACCTCCTCAGAAAACCCTTTCCAAATCATGCTATCTACAGTAGGCCCCCACTACTAACTTGTGTCTCAGTTTGTTGTTGTTGTTGTTGTTGTTTTCCCCCATAGGGTTTACAACAATCTCACTTGCTCACTTATTTTGTCTGTTTTCTATGCTAAACTGTAAACTCCATGGGAATTTTCCCATTATATCCCCATCACCTGGTACAATGCCTCGAACATAACAGGTGTTTAATAACAATGTACTGTGAATGAATGACATCTAGTAAACCCATTCAAGGTGACATTTCTCATTCAAGTCCGATTTGAGGGTATTTTTGATCCCCAAGAAGAAGTAAATCTATTCCCCAGCTACTCCCACTCCACATACTGAGGCCTGAGGCCACTTGAAAACCTGCAGGTGAGGAAGGAGAACAAGTCTCACCCATGACCTCGGATGCTCAGGTTGAAGCAGCCCAATCGATCACAGCCCAGGGAGTCAGCTCCACACTGCAAAAGCAAACCCCAGGCAGCAGCGGTGAGGAACTGGTCAGAACCTCACAGCTATCCCTCACTCCCCTCTCCCCACCAACCTAGGGAAACTCCTCTTCCCCGCTCTCTCTCCTTGGGCACAGGTAGAGCCCCCTGAGGTGGCGCTGACAGCATTACCTGGAGCACAATGCACGTGGGCTGGTAGAAGTCCACCACCTGGTTGATAACGGGCTGGAAAAGGTGCTTGTAACCTGGGAGAGGGCCAAATATAGGCACCTGGCACCCCAAGGGGATGGGGAGACAGGGAACAAAAGGAAAAAGGGGGTTGAGAGAGCATGTAGCCCAGGAAAGGGACAACCGAAAGAACCAAACTATTGGTTCTGAAGTCTGGGCAGGGGTCTCAGATCACTGTAACTGATGAAAACCAATGGCCCCCTTTTTCTGAAAAATGCACATACACCCAATATGTTATATACAATTTCCGGAGCCCATCATCCCTCTGAAGGCCATTCGTCCTAAGGACACCTGGTGCAACAGCAGATAATACCAGGCACAAGAGGCTAACTGAAGAAGAGAGAAGAGCACAGCGAGCATGTGGCTTCAGTACTTACTCTGGTCATCGATGCCATCACGCAGGGGCACATTGAGACAATAGTAGCGGCCACTCTCTGCTCCGACTTCGTACATGTCACCTATGGGGAAGTGGCTGGTGGGAGCTACGCATGCCAGCTGCTTCGACGCCAACCCACACACTGAGGGCCTCTCACTCTGTCTGTGTACCTCTCCCTCAGGCTTCCTAAAGCCATGGAGTCTCTTGCAGCTTGCCATCAATCAGCAGGCATTTCTTTCTTTTTTTTTTTTTTAAAGAATTATTATATTTAACTTTATTTATTTATTTAAATTTGACCAGAGAGGAACAGAGAGAGAGAGGGAGAGGGAGAGGGAAAGTGAGAAAGCAAGTCACCAGGTCCAGGACTCGAACTCCAGTTGACCATGCAAGAGTCCCACGCCCTTAACTACCATACCACCTGCTGGCCCCTCAGCAGGCATTTTTTTGTAATGAAATGAATGAAATCCCACCACACTTACATGCTTGAGGGCGGACAGTAAATAAAACAAAATAAAAAAAAAACACAATAAATACAAATTTATTGTGGTTTTATAAAGCAAGTGCTCTAAAAGGAACGAGCAGGACAATGTGACAGAGCCATGGGAAAGGAGGTGATTCCTATAACGGGTTGTCAGAAAGGCTCCTCTGAGGAGGGGACATCTGGCTGAGATCTGAAGGCTGAGAAGGTCGCAGTGAAGAACTAGGGTGTGTGGCGGGGGAGACAATAAATAATCCTATTCTCATACCTGTGCCAGGGAAGAAATAATTTCCGTATTTGTGGAAGGACACTGTCATGACCCGGTCAGTGAGGTAGAAGGCTTCCTGAACTCCGTCACCATGGTGGATGTCGATATCAATGTAGAGCACCCGCGGGTGGTACCTGGGATGAGGGCAAAGCCAGGCTCTGAGTGACAGGTCAGCACCTCAACCAACTCCTACCAAACAGGGGGTCTGACTCACAAAAAGCCTGCTTCTGTCCAAGTCGCCTGAAACCTAATACCACCAGTTCCCTCAGGGCAACCCTGGGGCTCCAGGCTGGACATGCAGGGACAGGAGGGGGGTGTGCAGAGAGGGCTGAAATGTGAGCAGGCAGGGCAGAGCAGGGGGGAGGTGGCTGGAACAAAACACAGGGCTAGTGGGGCAGGGAGGGCAGGGCCTGGGCAGTCTGAGGGACCTCCTTATCCAAGAGTCTCAGCAAGTGCCCTCATCTCCTCCCGGCCACTCACTTGAGCAGCTCCAGGATGCCGATCACAATGTCATTGACGTAGCAGAAGCCGGAGGCCTACGGCGAGACAGTGATCTTATAAAGAGAGGAACAATTCCACCACCTAACTGCTATCCCCGGTCATTCTGTCCCCCTCCCCTAGGCTGGCTATTGTCTCCCCTACCACCTCACTCACCTCAAACTTCTTGGCGTGGTGCAGACCACCAGCCCAGTTAATGGCAATATCACAGATCTGAAAGACAAACATCCAACTCACAGTCCTCCACCCACCCATCCCCAAGCTGAGAGTCCAGGGTCAGGGTTAAGACAGTCCAGGGACCCACAGGGAAAGGAAAACAGCACTCCCGGCTACAATACCTTGTTGTTCAGCTGAGTAGCTCCTTGCAGAGATGCACCTGTGTAACGGGAGCAAAATTCAAAGAGCCCCGGAAACACTGGGCTGCAGGGAAGAGGAGCAAGTTGGAACCCCCCTGCCTCTGTCCAGCCCCTTCTTGCACCTCCCACCCCACCCCAAACTCCTCCACTCTCTAGTCTCCTAAAACACGCTCCCCCTCCGACACACCTGAGCTATCTGCAAATTTATTCAACAAATATTTTGGAGCAAATCATGTACCAAGCCCTGTCAAAGGTACTGAATAGGAATTAAAGCAGCATTTAATGGGACCAGCAAATGGTGTAGCAGTTACTGAAAACCTCTTTTTTTCAGAGAGAGAGAGATTTTTGCTATAGGGTGCATGCCCTCACTATAAAGACAAAGAGACAGAGAGACCAAAAGCGAAAAAATCACCCGCCAGGGGGAGTGACTATACCGCAATCCCTTCTCCATTCTCCCCTCAGGATTTTGGGCACGCATGCACATGTGCCTGGCATGAGTTTCAAGGCGCCAGGTCTGGGACTCAAACCGCAGTTGGCTCTGTGGGAGTCCAGTGACATAACCATTATGCCATCTGCTGGTCTGGGCTGATATAACCTTTATCCCTCTTGTGGTTTGGGGAAAAACCCCTTAAAAAAAAAAAAAAAAAAAAAAAAACCAGCATTTCACTCTGTCAGAGAGTTGTACTCTAGCTGGGGAGAGAAGCAAGCAGCTTCTAGGCACTTGAGTATACACAAATAAAGGAAATAAGTTGAGAGAAAAACAAGAGCTGTTTTTCTTAAAAGAGTCTTCTAGGGACCAGTGGTTCAGGTGGCTGGATCTAATATAGCCGACTTCATGGTTCAAGTCCTGGACCTGTGGCTTGAAAACACACCAGGTGCCTGTGCATGTGCCCAAAATGCTAAGAGGAGAATAAAGGAGATGAGATTGCAGCATGGCAGTGCCCTCGGGGATGCTTTCTCACTGCCCCCCACCCCACTCTCACTCTCTCTCTCTCCAACAAGCATGTGCTCCATAGCAAATCTAAGAAAAAGAAAACAACTATGTGTTATCACATTTTAACATAATGTTCAATAATATTCTTTATAGGGGGTCGGCAGGTGGCATGGTGGTTAAGGGCGCTAGACTCCCACATGGCCAACTGCAGTTCAAGGCCCGGATCTGGTGGCTTGCTTTCTTGGTTTCCCTCTCTCTCTCACTCTGCTCCTCTCTGGTTAAATTTAAATAAATAAATAAAGTTAGATAAAATAATTCATTAAATAATAATACTAATCTTTATAAGAGTGCATTTAAAAACATTTTAATTGCCAGAGGGTACATATGCTTACCAAGACAGAGGCAGAGAAAGAGAGAAAGAAGGAGAGGGAAAGGCAAAGCACCAATCTGGGCATGGTCCTGCACAACACCTTCTTTTTCTCCCTCCTGTCGGGATTTGGGGCATACATGCATACGTGTCTGACATGTTTTTCAATATGCAAGAGCCAGGATTCAAACCAAGGTTGGTTATATGAGACCCAGTTCCTTTATTTATTTTGAAATAATTATTTGTTTTTTATTTATCATTATCATTATTATTTTAATTTGATACAGGGCACATATGCTTAGCAGAGAGGTGGGGAGAGAGAGATAGAAAGTGAGAAAGCAAGCCGCCAGGCCAAGGACTTGAACCGTGGTCAGCCATGTGGGAGTTCAGTGCCTTCAGTACCACCTACTGGCCCGAAGATACAACTCCTTTATCCACTATGCTATGGGTCCAGCCATATAGTCACACATTTATTTTTCCCCAGTATTTTTGCTACAGTGCATGTGCACTTACTGGAGAGAGTCACAGAGAGAGAGAGAAGAAAAGTGAGAAATCACCCTCCTGAGGGATGGTCATAATGCAATCCCTTCTCCTCCACTCTCCTCCCAGGATCTTAGGCATGCACATACACGCCTGACATGCTTTTCAAGCTGCTGAGTCCAGGACTCAAACTGTACAGTAGGCCATGTAGGATCCAGCTACTTTAACCTCCATGCCACCTGCTGGCCCTATAGTTACACATTTTCAAGAGAGAACTGTATTCTTATATACATGAAACAGTAATGAGACACTCTATAGAAAGCTCAGTGTGGGCCAGTAGGTGGCATGGGGTTGGGGCACTGGACACTCCCACATGGCCAACCACAGCTCAAGTCCTGGACCTGGTGGCTTGCCTTCCTACTTTCCCTCTCTCTTTCTCTCTGTGTTTCTCTCTCTGGTCAAATGAAAATAAATGAATAAATAAATAAAGTTAAACAATTCTTTAAGAAAACAAAAAAAGAAAGCCCAGTGTATGGCCCCTGGTAAGCATTTAATAAATGTTAGCTATAATTATTACTTTTAAAAATTGATTTAATTTTATTAGTTATTATTTTTTAAAGAATTATTTATTCAATTTTATTTATTCACTCATTTATTTTAATTTGACCAGAGAGAGAGAGATAAAGTGAGAAAGCAAGTCACCAGGTCCAGGACTCAAATCATGGTCAGTCATGTGGGGGGGTCCAGCACCTTAACCACCATGCCACCTGCTGCCCCCTTAATTTTTATTGTTTTTCAATTTGACCAGAGAGAGAAAGAGAGAGAGAGAGAGATAAAGTGAGAAAGCAAGCCTCCATGACTAGGATTAAAACCACAGGGGAGTACAGTCCCTTCACCTCGCTACCCGCCAGCCCCATAGCTGTAATGATTAACGTCCTTATTCTTTATTAAAAGGAGAAGCTTGAAGCCAGACACAAAAGGCCATATGCTGTATGACTCCATTTATGTTAACACTTTAGAAAAGGCAAAATGTAAGGACAGACATTAAATCAGTAGTCGCCTGGAGCTAAGGTAGAAAGAAGGGATTGATTGCAAAAGGATATGAGGGATCTTTTGGGACAAGTGGAAATATCCTATACCTTGATACATCATACCCAAACTTTCAGAACTGTTACACGTTAAAAAAAAAAAAAAGGTGAATTTTACTGCATGCCAATTATAGCCTCATACATTTTATGTCCCCACGTGTGTCTGTATTCTATAGCAAAACTGAAAGAAAGGAAAATTTAACAGCAGGGAAGCCAACTATAGATACTAGAGACAGTACAGAAGCGGGTAGGAAATAGGGGGTGAGAAGGAGGAGATCAGGGAGAAAAACAAAATATTTAATAGATACAGAAACAAAAAGTTATCTGTATATGGTAATGTCTTTGATCTGACTAATATGCACTGTATTCATGCTAAGAAAAACCATACTATACACTGCAAAGATATACAGTGATTAAATGTAAATTTAAAAAAATTATAGCCTCATAAACCTAACTTTAAAAAAAAGAAAAGGCTTTAAAAAATCCCTAGCTTGGGGCCGGCAAGTGGCGTGGTGGATAAGGGCGCTGGATTCCCACATGGCCAACCACGGTTCGCGTCTCAGATCTGGTGGCTTGCTTTCTCACTTTCCCTCTTTCACTCTCTCTCTGTGTCTTTCTGATCAAATTAAAATAAATAAATAAAATTAATGAATAAATAAAATTAAATAAATAATTCTTTAAAGAAAAAAAAATCCCTAGCTTAAGTCTCCAAGGAAATACTGCCACTGATATATGTGACCAGGTGAAAAACAGACTTGTAGGGAATTTTATAGTTTTTCAAAGGGCTTGGGAAGAATTAGTGATTGATACCTAGAAAACTAAGCAAATGAAAAAAAAAAATGCAATTACAACTCCAGAAAACAAAAAGTTATACAAGAAAATTAATTAAATTACAGTATACTATTTAGTTTGATAATCACTGAACTTTTCAGGGTTTTAATAACGCAAACATAGAATACTGATTACTTAAAAATTGTAATATAGCTATATATTGTGAAGCTAGGAGGGGAGAAGCCAGGATGATGGTATGAGAAGACTAAATGCTACCATCCCACAGATGATGTCTAAAATTGACAATACAGTAGAATAGTTATAAGCCCAGAATCTGGGGCCAGACTACCTACGTACAAATGCTGGCTTATTAACAGGTAACTAATGATTGTGAGGTTGAGCGAGCTGTTTAACCTCTCTGTGCCTGAGTGACCTCATCTGTAAAGAAGAGAAATTAACAGACTCAACTTCACAGGGGTTGTTGAGATTAAATGAGTCCATGGCCATAAAGCATTCAGGATAGTACCTAGCACATAGTGGATATTACCCAGGTATTACAAATTAGTAACAATGATGAGTAATAGTAATAGATTAGTATTTTAATTTTGAAATTCAAAAAATAAATACAAGAAGAAATAGATAAGAGAAAGTGGCTGTCAGCGGGAACAGGGATTTAGGGGTGGGAAGAATTGCTTTGTTTTTCCATTACAAGTCTTAGAGTATAATCTGGCTATTCATGGTAGATAACTTTGAAAGTAATCAGAAATTATTAAAAGAAAAAAAAGGGGGGCAGCAGGTGGCATGGTGGTTGAGGCGCTAAACTTCCACATGGCCAACTACGGTTCAAGTGTCAGACCTGGAGGATTGCTTTTTCACTCCCTCTTACCCCATCTCTATCTAGTGAATTTAAAATAATAATAATGGCAATAAGCAAAACTAAAGAATTATTTAAAAAAAAAAAAAAAGAAAAATCTCTGATGCTCATCTGAAACACGGATAAAAACAACTGTAGCTTAAGTTGGACAGGGTGACTGACGCAGCACAATCAGACCCGAGGTAGCGTTTCTTAAATGCACAAAGAACATCTCCAAGGCTCCAGCTGTGGCCTAAGGGCTGACTGTGCATTCCCAGACCTAGAAAGTGAACTCAGAAACAGCAGCAGGAACAATAACAAAGAAACAAGAAACCTCCCAAGACAGCATGTGACTGAGCATCAAATGAGCAGCACAGCATGTGTAGGACAGAGCTCTGTGGGCGGGCATGGTCAGGAAAGGTGCCATGGAGGTGGTGTGAAGGCTGGAAAGGCCTTGATGAGGTTGAAAGGAAAACCAAGGGCATTCCAGGAAGGCATCCTGTGCACCTATGAGTGGGGATAAAGTTGGAAGGTGATTGATGCCATAGGAAGTTGGCCTCTGTCATGCCGCCCCAGCTGCTTCTGTCAGGAGGATCTTTCAGGGAAACAGATTAAAAACCTGGACTCTGGATCTGAGTCTTGCCATTTCCACTGACCTGTTACGTGACTCAGGCTAGGTTGCCTAATTCTCCCCAAATCTGTTTATTTAAGTATGGCATAAAGAAATAAACTATTAGGTCTCAGGGTTGGTATGAGAATTAAGTGGATATACCAGCAATTTCTAGCGTAACAGCTAGCAGAGTAGGCACTCAATAAATGGTAGCTATCAGAGGACAGCTACAGGATCAACAACCTGGTTTCTTCAAGAAATGAATTAGAGGGGTTGGCAGGTGGCTGGTGGTTAAGGTATAGGACTCCCATATGGTCAACCATGGTTCAAGTCCTGGACCTAGAGGCTTGCTTTCTCACTTTTCCTCTTTATCTCCCTCTTTCTCTTCCTGGTCAAATTAAAAAATAACAATAATAAATAGAGTTAAATAAATAATTTTTAAAATAATAATTAAAAAGGAAATTATAGGATCTGGCAGGTGGCATGGTGGTTAAGGGTGCTGGACTCCCACATGGTCTACTGTGGTTTGAGTCCCGGACCTGGCAGCTTGCTTTTGCACTTCTCCCCCCCGCCCCAACTCCCAATCCTCTCTGATAAAATTAAAATAAATAAATAAAGTGAAATAAAAAAATATTTAGAAAAAAAAAGAAAGGAATTAGAGGGGGAGAGGAAAAGCTACAGATTAAAAGTCTTAAGGGACATATGAATCAAATGCAACGTGTGGGGACCAGCAAATGGCATAATGGTCACATCGCTGGACTCCCACACGGTCAACTACAGTGTGAAACTGGACCAGGGGCTTCAAACTCACACCAAACACATATGCATGCATGCCCAAAATCCAGAGAAGAGACTAAAGAAGGGACTGTGGCATGGTCATCCCCCTTGGGGGGTGGTTTTTTTCGCTTTCTATCTCTGTCTCTCTGGCAAACACACATGCCCTATAGCAGAAATCTCTAAAAAATATATATAGTAATGTGTGGATCTTGTTTAGATACTGATTTAAATCAACTACAAAACAATAAAACCATGAGACAAATGGGAAAATTTGAGTACTGATTACATATTGAGAATGGTAAGGAATACTATTAACTCTTTAGGTGTGACAATGATACTATAGTTTTTAAAAATCTACCATATAGAGATACATAGTAAAATAACTTCAAATATAATAAAATAACTTCAAATAAAAGGATGACATTTGAGATTTGCTTTAAAAATAATCTAAGGCACAGCTGCAGTGGCACAGAGGTAGCACCAGGCTCTACAAAGCTGGCAGCCATACAGAAGGTCAAAGTTCAGTTCCTGGCTGACCTGAACATGCTGGACAGGTGCATGTGTATATGCCTGTACTCCTGGATAGTTGGAAGCCTGGGAGGTAGGGGGGATCATGGCATGAGACCCTGCTGAGTATACTTGTCTCATTCTCTCTCTCTGTCATAAAAGAAAGAAAATAGGGGCGAGGAGTTGGCATAGTGGTTAAGGCGCTGGACTCCCACATAGCAAACTGTGGTTTGATTCCTGGACCCAGTGGCTTGAAAATCATGCTGGGTATGTATGCATACATGTCTAAGGTACCAAGAGGAGAACAGAGAAGAAGGAATTGTGGTGTGGCCATTCCCCTAGGGAAGTGATTTTTCACTTTCCCTCTCTCTCTGTCTCTCTTTAGTATGTGCACATACCCTATAGCAAAAACTAAAAATAATAATAATAATAATAAATAATATAATCTAATACAAGGGGATACAAAGGACTAAGACTGGTCATTTGCTAAGAAGTGCTTAGGCTGGGAGATACATGTACTTATGGGTATTTGCTTTATTACTATACTTCCAAAAATGTTTGAAATTCTTCTTAATAAAAAGTTTAAAAATAAAAACAAATAGAATTGATGGGGCCGGCAGGTGGCATGGTGGTTAAGAGCACTGGACTCCCATATGGCAGACCGCAGTTTGAGTTCCAGACCTGGCGGCTTGCATTCTCACTTCTCTCTCTCTCTCTGATCAAATTAAAATAAATAAATCAAATAATTCTTTTTAAAAAAAAAAACAAATAGAATTGAGTAAATGGTAGCTGCTATGGTTATTATTTTTTCACAGATGTACATGGCAGTATAAGCAAAGATGGTGGTTGATTTTTGTTGTCTACTCCCTTCCCTTCAGGGCTTAACCTTGAATCTTCTATGTGGATACGGGCTCATCGCACACCTGAACTGCTAACTTCTCCCCTTGCTGCTTAAAACACTTGGATGACGTCCCTCTGCTCTAGGGAATTCTAATACGAATTCTTGGGAATTCATATGTCTTTAGCCATGGATCAGGTCACCCTCTTCATATTCTGCATCTAGCCTTCCTTCTGTTCCTCAAGTCGTATTCTATGCTACCAGAACCCCTTAGCACACGTTGCCCCAATGCCCACTATATTCCTCCTCTCACCCTCCATCTCCTCACTGTCCTCCCCTCTACCCCACCTACAACCTTTCATCTAATTATTTCCAGTGTTTTCAGATCTCAGTCCAGTCTTCATTAATTCCTCTAGAAGATTTCACAGACCAACCACCCCTAAGCTAGATAATTCTGCCCATTTTACACTCTCATGGTCTGTCACATACCTCTCCTTCATAGGACTTAACCACAAAACTAAAATTTGTTGTCGTTCACCACTGCACCTCCCCACTCCCAGTACTTAACACAGGGCCTGGTCTAGAGCAAATGACCAATAGATATATACATACATATATATTTTAAGATTTTTGCTATAGAGTCTGTGCTATTGCCAGAGAAAGTCAGAGAGAGGAAAAGTGAGAAGTCATCCTCCAGGCGGGATGGCCATGCCATGATCCCTTCTACTCCATATTGAGTACACATTACATGTGCCACCAGCTCCAGAACTCAAACTAAGGAGTCAATCATGTGAGATTCAGCACTTTAACCACCACGCCACCTGCTGGCCTGCAATAAACATTTATAATTAAACAAGTAAGTGAAAGATGATTCATTGAGAAGTAGCCCTCCCACACCTTCATCTCTCCCCACTGCTGCCACAGGACCTCACTGAAGGGCCTGGCATCAAAGCACTTGACATCAAAAGTCCCAGGCCCCGCTCACCAGTCGTCGCCCACGTTGAAGGCATTAAGGCTCTTGGTGAAGCCCTGCATATTGGTGGGGCTGACTCTCTGCAGGAAGTCAATGTAGTCCTCCGAGTGGAAGCGGCACATGTCATGCTGGGAGGCTTGATATGGCTTGAAGACCTCAAGATGGAGACACACGATGAATCCAGGCATGAGAATGAGACCACTCACACTGAACCTAACCGCGGAGTTTGTCAAAAGGAATTCCCAAACTCCAGTCCTTGTTATCCTTTGAGACAAAGGTCAGTGAAGAAAAGAGGCTCCAATTGGCCAGGTGGATTATTATGACCAAGTCCCCTGAAGATACTTCTCCCACCTTCAGCCTAGACTCTCCTGCCTTCTCAATTTTGATCCTGGGTCCACCCGCCCTGCTCCCTGGAGCTGCTATTCCTGGTCCTTTCCATACACTTCTCCTTCTCTGGCGGTGGTTGTTTTTTAAAGACAGGGTCTTGTCATGTTGTGATCCTCCTGCCTAAGCCCCCCAGCTGAGACCAGAGGTGCAGGCTCTTTTTCAGACGGTCTCACTATGTTGCCCAGGGCAGTCTCTAGTTTGCCACTCTTCTACCTCAGCCTCCCAAAGTGCTGGGATTACAAAGTACATGTCACCATGACCATCCTTTATGTTGGACCAGGAATAAAACCTAGGCATCCTGGGACCAGCAGATAGCATAATGGTTTTGTTGCTGGACTCCCACAACCACGGCTGTAATCCTGTGGTTCAAGTCCTGGACCCAGCAGCTTAAACACATGCCAGGCACATGTGCGTGCATGCCCAAAATCCTGAGAGAAGAATGGAGAAGGGATTTTGTCATGGCTATCCCCCTGGGGGGTAATTTCTTGCTTTCTGTGTCTCCGTCTCTCTGCTGAAAGCATGCGCCCTATAGCAAAAATCTATTAAAACAAACAAACAAACAAAAAAAACACCTGATTTCTCATGTGGCACCAGCTTATGGAGCATGTCATCTCCCCCCTCCCCAAAGAATTATTTATTTATTTAATCCCATTTGTAATTATTATTTTTTTAATTTGACCAGAGAGAGAGAGAAAGGGAAAGGAAAAACCGCAAGCCACCAGGTACAGGACTTGAACTGCAGTCGGTCATGTGGGAATCCAGCGCCTTTAGCTATCACGCCATCTGCTGGCCCCAAGGGCATGGCATCTTAACAGTGCACACCACTATACCTGGGCACCCTTCCCCTGGGCTCTGATTATGCCCATTCTCTTCTGGGTTTTTCATTCTGGAGTTAAGTATATGGGATATATGACAACTTTGTCATTAAAATCCAAGGTTGCTTTTATGGTTTTTGCCATAGGGCACATGTGCTCACCAGAGACAGAGAGAGAGAGAGAGACAGTGAGAAGGAGTGAGAAATCACCCCTCTGGGGGATGACCATACTACAATCCCTTCTCCTCCTAGAATTTTGGGCATGCATGCACATATGCCCAGTGTGATTTTCAAGCTGCCAGGTCTGGGACTCAAACCAGGTCAGCCATGTGGGAGTCTAATCACCACACCACCTGCTGACCCCAAAAATCTAAGATTTTAAAAACCTTATACATGGGGAGGAGAAGTTTACACACTTCTTTGAAAACTGAGAACGAAGAGCCCTCTTTTCCCCAAAAATGCACACAGGTACATACAATAAATTCACATTTTCCTGCAAAGGTCTTATCTATGGCCAATCCACTTGTCTGTGCCTTCGAATGAACATTCACTCATGCACTAATTCTCCTTGCAAAGCACAAGGGCTGGACTTCACTGTTTTAATCCCATATCACAGCTTAATTTCCATGCCAGGGACAGAGAGCCTATGTATGTATGTCTGGGAGCTAGAGGACTGAGTAGAGATCAAGCAGACTCAGGGCATCTCCAGCGCTCTCACACAGGGCTGCCAGTCCCTGGAGCTATTGCTTCTTGAAGGCAAAGAGAGATGGCAAAGAAGGAATGGGAACACAGGGTAAACCTCACACTCAGATACAGTGATCCAGCAACCCTACACCCCAATCCCAGAGATCACAGCACTGTCCGCACCCTAAAATGTAGAGGAAGAACACACCTTTAATTTTAAACCAGTCCCACACCACCCTAACCCTAGACTAATGGCTAGTCCGCCTGAGGTCAAAGGGTGGCAGTCTTGAGGTGAAAAAGTAATTCCCATAAAGTCAGAAACTGCCCAGAGCAGCCTATATGTCAGGGGTGCTCCTTGCCTTCTATCCAGCTGCCCCTACTCTAGGGGCAGGTCGCACTTGGTGGTGCATTCAGTCCAGCCCACCTATCCCTAGGGTCGCATCTCGCTCCCACCCCAAGCCCTGGCAGAGGCAGCGGGACTCACAATCATCTTCTTATAGAGACCGTAGTGCAGCACTAGGCTATGGGTCAATGCCAGCCGATGGGGCTTCATCGGGTGCCCAGCCCCTGGGTGGGAAGAGAGTTCGTCGTCAGCTCTCACTCCTGGAGTTGCTGCCCCTGCCGCGAAACCTCCGCGTCCCAGTCCCGCGTGCCCAACCCTGTTCACTCACCGTAGTGGAAGTTGCCTACGTCGGGGTCGTAGAAATAGGCCACAGTCTTGGCCATGGTGTCCGCGGGTACAGGCCCCGAGCCTCAGCCGCCCGCCGGCCGCCAGCCCCACCCCCGGCCGTGCGTGCTGCGCAAGCACGCCGCTGCCTCTGCGGAACCGGAGCCCAGGCCCCGCCTCTCAGGACCACGCCCCGGACACGCCCCCTGCGGGGGTTCCGCCCCTCGCCTCGCTTCGCCCTTCCCGCTCCCGGGACTTCAGCGTCCAGACTTGGGCTGGAAGCCGTAGCATCTGTCCTAGGATGCAAGGCCCATTTCTGTCCGGGCGGGGGTCAAGTCCTCGGGAAGCCAAGTCACCTTATCCAGCTCCTTGCCCCAAACGGGGCGCAGGCCGTGGTCACCCCTCTAGGAATCTCCGAAGATCCGGCCACGCCGCCCCTCTCAGGTGCAGAAACCCAGCTTCCCTCAGCCCGCTGGGAAGATTGATTGCCATCCCCTCGGCTGGGGCATCTGAGGGCAGAAGCTGCGCCAGGCGTGCCGGATAGACCGCAGAGCAGCCCGGTCTGACCGCCTGGCCCCAACTAGGACCCAGACTCGGCGCCCCACCTTCCCCCCGGGGGGGCCCAGCGCAGTCACGCGCGCACCCCACTTGCGTTCACACACGCGCAAGGCTCACGCTCTCCGCCCTGCACACCTGCGCTCCGCCCCTTGGTCCCAGGCCGACGACCGGCGAAGGCATTCGGAAACCCAGGGCATCTGCCGAGGCGCCCCCCTTCTCTTCGTTTTCCCAGGGCCAGTGTAGTCCCGAGCCTGCCGCTGCTCCCAGCCAACCCCCATCCCTCTCCTTCCTTCCCTCCCCCGCCTGCCGCGGCACCGGTATCCGCAGCCACAGCCCGGAGCCGGTGAGGCGGCGAAGGGGGAGGGGGAGGAATCAAGGGATGAGCTCCGGGAGGGCGCCGGGGGCCCTGAGCCGGACTGGGACACCCCTGGAGCCGGAACCCGAGCCCGAGCCGGAGCCGGAGCCGGAGCCAGAACCAAACCATCGGTACCGGGTGGGCCAGGTGGTAAGGGTGGGAGGAACCGAAACGGGGAGGGAAAGGATTGGGGAGCAAGCAGGGGAGGGGGCTGCAGAGGCCTGGCCCAGACCAGCGCGGAGGAGGCGCGGACGCTGACTCAGGCCCAATTTCTGCTCCCGCCGCCCGAGAATTCCGTCCCTTCTTGCTCTGCAGTGTCCTTGGGAGGGACGAAAGCGCGGGACTTGCTGGAAAGGGGAAGGCTCTGGGCGTTGGGGAAGCAGGACCAGGATCGTGGAAGAGGTCTTGCGCAGCCGCCCTCTGCTCCTGCCCCCGGGCGGTCTTGGAGGCCCAGCACCCCTGGCTCGGACAGCTCCCTGGCTAGGTAGGGTGTGGGGCTGGACTTCTCAGACATGTCTGTTTCGGATCCTGAGGACAGCATTCCTACCTCTCCCCCATCCCCAGTTGCAGCCCCCTAAACCCAGGAGGCGCCCTGGCCCGCGCTCGCCCCCCAGGGCCTCATGTCGGAACCACAGCCTGACCTGGAGCCGCCCCAACATGGGCTGTACATGCTCTTCCTGCTTGTGCTGGTCTTCTTCCTCATGGGCCTGGTAGGCTTCATGATCTGCCACGTGCTCAAGAAGAAGGGCTACCGCTGCCGCACGTCGAGGGGCTCGGAGCCTGATGATGCCCAGCTCCAGCCCCGTGAGTGAGGAGCCTGGAACCCTGGCTCAGTCACCTTTCTCCCTGACGGTTCTCCCCACATCTCTACCTCTGTGGCCTACACACCAAAGCCAAATCCCATCAAGCCTGCAGGAAGCCTAGTGATGCATTCTTGAGTCAGCCAGTGGGGTGATGAGCAAGGCTAGAGAAGACAGCATGGGCAGGAAGGGTCCATTGATGGTAGTTTGGGGCTCCCACTGACTTCCCCATCTTTTCTGGTCTCTGAAATGCTCAAGTCCAGCCTGATGGCAAATAGGTAAAGGAGTATTTCTTGAGCAATAAGCTATAGGGGCCATCGGGTAACGTTCTCCAAAGCTGACTCATTTCCTGCTTGCTTGCCAACCTCTTTCATCCTTCAGCTGAAGATGATGACATGAATGAGGACACAGTAGAGAGGATTGTTCGCTGCATCATTCAGAATGAAGGTAGGTGTTGGTGAGCCCCTTGCTCCCTCCTACCCAGACTTCTGCTTGCCCTGACCTCCACCTCCACTGACTCCCTCTTTTCCTTCTCCCCTCAGCCAATGCTGAGGCCTTGAAAGAGATGCTGGGGGACAGTGAAGGAGAAGGGACAGTGCAGCTCTCCAGGTGAGCTGGAAACAAGGGCCAGCATGACTTAGCTTGCCTTGGAGAGTACCCTCTCCTCCAGCACAGTCCTCTCACAGTATCTGCATGTTTGGGGTTAGGAGGGAAAAGCTATAGGAAGAAAGAATTTTCATAGAAACCCCAAGTTCTCCAAACCATACCTCTCACCTAAATATAACTGAGCCCAACATTCACACCTAGTGCCACTCCTTCAGGTTAAGCATTGCCCTCTTCATAGCACACAGCTGTGGGAGGGAGAACACAGGTCACTAACATCTTAATATTGAGTTTATTAGACAAGGACAAGGAAAGAATGCTGGGTCCTGGGGAAATAGGGCTTCTGGGGGGTTAAAGAGCATGTTGAAACGACAGGAGGAAATGGGGCAAGAAGGGAAATGAAGTGTCATTCTTGTTCCCCCTCCTCCCCATTGTCCAGTGTGGATGCCACCTCCAGCCTACAGGACGGAGCCCCCTCCCATCATCACACGGTGCACCTGGGCTCTGCAGCCCCTTGCATCCACTGCAGCCGCAGCAAGAGGCCCCCACTTGTCCGTCAAGGACGCTCCAAGGAAGGAAAAAGTCGCCCTCGGCCTGGGGAGACCACCGTGTTTTCTGTGGGCAGGTGGGGATAGAATGTCCCAGGGAAAGGGAGGTTGACACGGGTGCCCCAGTGGCCAGGAACCTGACTCCAAAGATAGCCCCGGGCTCTTTCCTACTGAACTGGGAGCTGCAGCAAGAGTCAGCAGCTCATGTGTCCCCCAGTCTGAGGCCTCCCGTGCCCTAGACCAGGGGGAAATGACCATCAAACCCAAGATGTCCCTGGTCAGAGGAGAGGGTCAGGTACGCTCAGAGTTGTGGTCCTAAACCCCAGTGTTCCCTCCCCTCCCAGGTTCCGAGTGACACATATTGAGAAGCGTTATGGGCTGCATGAACATCGTGATGGCTCCCCTACTGACAGGAGCTGGGGCTCTGGTGGGGGACATGACCCAGGGAGTAGCCAGGGGTCTGGGGGAGGGCAACCCAGGCCAGGGATGCCAGCCATTGAGAGGCTGCCTCCTGAAGAGCCCCAGGCCCTAGCCAGCCTCCCAGTCCAGAATGGAGGGCTCAGGGACAGCAGCTTAGTCCCTCGTACACTTGAGGGAAACCCTGGAGCCTCTGCAGAGCCAACGCTGGGGGCCAGAGGAAGGGGCCCAAGCCCAGGGCTGCCCACTCAAGAGGCAAATGGACAGCCCAGCAAACCGGACACCTCAGACCATCAGGTATGAAGACATGGCCAGGGCTACAGTGGCTGCGGTGGGTTCAGCTCTTACTGCCCGCGTACTATCGGGCACTGATATGACCCACCTCCTATTCTCCCATTGTCTGCCCCTCCCCTTTCTCTCAGGTGTCTCCACCACGGGGAGCAGGGAATATGTGAGGTGAGTCTGCTGGAGCCCCACGTCAGTTACTCTCATTCTCCCACCCCTGCTCAGGCTTCTTAAGCCCATCAGCTCCTGAACCCTAAAGGTGGTCTGCAGGCTTAGCCTTGCGACAGACCCTTGGTTTGGTGGTGGGAAGTGGGTATGTGTTCCAGGGGATAGGCAAGTTCTTGCAGCCTCCTGGGGAAGAGCTGGGACAGAGCTTGAACAGGAAGCAACACTGTCACCCTTCCTCTCCTCCAAGCCTCATTCTTCATTGAGCTGATGGACTACCAGCTGGCTGGTCCAGAGGACGGGTGGGCAGGAAGGCCCTCCTCTCCACTGGACAGCACTGCCCCCAGCTGAGGGACCAGTTCTACTTTCACCTGGAGTTGCGTGGTCTCAGCTGGGGGATCTTGGGAGAAGCACCCCTGGTCCCTCAGTCTCTTCACCTGCCCCTGCCTGCCAGCAGGCCACCTGACCCACCTTCCCCAACACCTTGCTCCCTATGCTGAAGTGCAGCAGCTGGGAGCAGGCCCCTGCCCTTGGCAGGCCCCTAAAGCAATAGCACCTTAGGCCCCCTGCCCTCTTGGCACAAGAGGCCCAGTCCTGGCTTGGCCTTTGTGCCCTTTATTCACTGTCAATAAATCCGCTCAGACCATTACAGCTGCTTTGCATACTGGTTCCAGCTCCTTCTGACTCCCAAGGCCTGCTCCTCTCCCATCCCCAACCCAGTGTCCCCGGAATCCAGAGTGGGGTGGGTCACAGAGCCAGATTAGAGACACAGATGGTCCCAAGTCACTCAAGATGGGGATGGGTTCCAGCCCCAGGGATTTCAAGATATCTCACCTCCCTAGAAATGAGGTGATGGTAGAAGAGAAAGGAGAAGTTCCAGCTCGAGAGATGGCAGGATGACAGTGGGGGAAAAGGAGTGGGTTCCGGCCCCAGAAATGGGGAGAGGGGGCGTTTCTACTCCTGGAGGTGAGAGTAGAAATGGGAGAAGAGTCCAGCTTTTGGCTTTGTCAATCCAGATCAGTTGAGGGGATAGTCTCTGGCAGCATGGAGAGGGGGGCAGCAGCATCACTGGAGGGCAGTGATCCCCGTGGCCTTCAGGTGAGGAGATCTGGGTGGCCAGGATCCGGAGCTTTCGCTGGCGGGGGAGGTGGTGGACGCGTCTGTAGGGAATACACAATTACTGCTCCAGAGTCCTCCCTTAGGAGTATGCCTGTCTATTCTCTCACCACCACAGATAAAATGAGACCAGTTGGAATGACCCCTTTGTACACAAATCCCCTCCTCGTCAGGAACCCTTACCGGCCTGAGTCGAGGTGCCATCATGTCCAGGGGTCCAGAGCAGTCCAGGGCTTTGTCTGGAAACAAGACAAAGAGCCACGAGTCAGACTTTGTTTTGTTCAATATTATATCTCTAGCACTTAGGACAGTGGCTCTCTCTATAAAATTTGTTGGATTAACTAACGGTCACCAATCTGGGCCACAAAATCCATATCGACCTGTCCATCTTCAACAAACACTTATTGGACAACTACTGATAATCAGCTCTGCTCTAGGAAGCAAACACAGGGAGGCAGGACTCATAGCACTCTTACCCCCAGTGGCTGCCAGGAACCCAATAATGAAACAACAAGCAATGAATGACCAAGTGCTAAGTCATTCAGAGTGAACTAAAGATGCTTGAGAGAGTGGTGATCCCAGGGGGCTCAAGGAAGGAGACCGTTGAGGGGGAAGGTAGAAGTATTAGAAGGTTTTAGAAAAGGTGAGCATTCATTCCAAGGAGGATAATGATGACACGGAGCTAGCTATCTGCAGGATTCAAGAACACTAAGGGCAAAGGGTGCATATCAGGAAAACACAGACTTTTTAAGCTAATTTTTAAATAATAATAACAGTAAATGGCGACTATTTGCACACTTACAATGTGCCAGGTACAATGTTGTATACTCCACAGATGTCTTTTTAACTCTCACAATTCAATGAGGTGGAACCTTTCTACTTACTTTATTAAGGATATCAACTAAGGCCCAGACAGGCTAAGTACTCCGCCTCAAGTCACTAGGAAGTAATAAAGTGGATTTGAACCAGTCTGCCTGGCTCCAAAGCCCAGGCTCTTTATGCCATCAAGCTCTAGGGGGCCTGATGGTGGGGTGCTTGAGGGCGTGTAGAGGAGCAGAGTATAGTCTGAGTCCAAGCTTCCTCCTCCTCCCATCTCTTATCCTCCCAAGGCCCCAGTACCCTCTACTCACCCCCGGGCAGGACAGGTGCAGAGGGCCCATCCAAGCCAGATGTGGGCACAGGAGGGGAGAAGCTGGGAGGAGAAGGGGATGGCAGTGTCTGGGGGTGGGGTAGGCAAAGAGTTATTAGTGGCATGTGGAAAGGTTTTTGCCAACTTCATCTCTTCAATTCCTGTCCCATCACTCACCAAGAGAAGAGTGGCCAAATGCTTATATTCAAGTAGAGGCTATAGCTGATACATATTTCAACAGCCAATATATACCGAACACTTAACTGTCTCGAGTATTCTGCTAGTGCTTCGCACGTACCATTTTATTTAATCCCCACCACCAGCCCAAGAGGTAGATGTCATGTGACTCCTGTGTTTCAGGTGAGATTCAGGTTGAGCCTCAGGGATTTAGTGGCAGAGTTCTGGCTGAACTCAGGTCTCCTGACACCCACTCTTGTGCTCTTCCTGCTGTATTACAATAATGGGTGTCATATAAGAAAGCACCTCTGTGTGCCACTGTGCTCAGGGCTTTCCCTCTATTATTGCTGATCCTGACAGTGACCTGCTGAAGTAGATAGAGTGGACTTCATCCCCATTTTACATGTGAATAAACAAGCTCAGAGACGTGAAATCACTGTCCAAAGTCATGCAATAGAAATCTGAACTCAGATCTATCCAGCACTGAAGTAGGACCTCTACATTTCTATGAAGGTTGCCTTGGTTTCACTTTTCTCTGCCCAGCCAAAGGAGATGGGGAGGCTCAAGCCACTATAGGAGGAAACCTGGGGATGAGAGGATGCGTTAAGATGACTATGGGGCCCACTGGGGTGGGAGGGTCAACCTAGAGGTGCCTAGGGAGCCAGGGAGAAGAAAGTCTCACTTGTTCAAGGTCAGAGATTTCAGGTGGCCCTGGGGGGCCAAGCAGCTCCTCAACCAGCAGGGAGGGGAAGACCCCAACATGGCCCCCAAATTCTCCCCTCCAGAAGCCATCATCCACTCCATCTTGGGCCTGGGGCAGCAGGCGGATGAGCGCCCCCTCAGGGAAGCTGAGCTCCTCTGCACTCTGACCAGTATAGCTGTACAGGGCACGGGCCAGGAATGCTGCAGAAGGCCGGGAGAGAGTTGAGAGAAAGAGGTGGGTGTGGGGTTCTAGGACCATGACACCTCACGGCCACAACCACCCAAGTACTCCTCTCCATACCCACAGTCCATTGAGCCAGAATTTCCCTTCCTTACCTGTGGGTTCTGCCCCTGAAGGATTGTCACTGTCATGGCTGCTCTCAGGGAGGAAGAGGTCCGGGAAGTTGAGGTACCGCTCAGGGACAAAGCCTACCTCTCCATGCTGGTTCCGAGCCTGTTCATGCAGCAATGTGGTATTAGACTTGCCTCAGCAATCTGTGGCCCAGGCTCTCCACTACTCAGGCTTTTAGATGTGCCTGTCTGGGTCCTTGGGGCCATAGAGAAGTCCCTCCCACTGCCCCCAACCCAAGGTCAGAGCCCAGGGTCCCATACCCACCTTGACCCATTCGTCAGCATCTCCTTCCTCTACGACCTCCAGCCACTCACCCTCCGTGATGGTCAGCTCATCCTCACGCCCTGCCTGGGCCCCACGAGGAAGGAGTCAGGTTTTGTCTGTCCCCCAACCCTAGCCCACTTGAGGTCCCCACCCTGAAACACACCTGATAGCCAAACACCACATGTGCGGGGCAGGGGAGGGGCCTGGTGGCCAGGGCTGGAGGAGCAGGCTCCTCAAAGAGCTCCCCTGTTTCCTCACACTCCTCAAAGTCAGAAAGCTCAGCATCTTCAGCCTGGAAGGCGGCAGAGACCAGGCATCATTATAAGGCCCACTCTCAAGTACTGGTTCTATCTCCTACTCCATCCTACCCCTAGTCCATCCTCCAAAGTAGTATCCCCCATCCACTCAAGGTGTACTCAGCCCCCATCACCACAGAGCAGGACAATGTTATCGATAATAGCAGAGTGATAGTAACTGAGTGCTTCTGTGTGCCTGGCACAATAAGCACCTCACATATATTGTCCCATTCAATTTATTCTGCACTATTAACCTCATTTTACTTATGACAAAACTCAGGCTCAGAGAAGTTAAGTGACTGTCCAGGACCATGCTGCTAAGTGGAGTGGCTGGTACTTAAACCAGACCACTCCACTATGTAATACTCATAATAAAAGTATTGAGGATTCTTGGGACCAGCAGATGGTGTAATGGTTATGCTGCTGGACGCCCACAGAGTTAAACAATAGTTGACCACAGTTTGAGTCCTGGACTCAGCAGCCCAGTGTGTGTGTGTGTGCATGCCCAAAATCCTGAGAGAATAGAGCGAAAGGGATTGCAGTGTGGCCATCCCACCTGGGGGGTGATTTTTCGCTTTCTGTCTCCCTGGCAAGCACATGCACCCTATAGCAAAAATCTCTTAAAAAAAAATAAAAAGTATTGAGGACTCTATTCCAGAAACTCTGCAAAGAACTAAACGTAAATGATTTCATTTAAGCCGTACAACAACTCTGAGTCAGGTGCTACTGTGATCCCCACTCCATAGGATCTGTCTTGCACTGAGGAGTCTTACCCTCCTGGGTAGGTATGGGTAGGATGAGGGGAGGAGCTCACCATGGGTGAGAGGTCTCTCTGGGATAGGCGAGCCTCGCTGAGCCTCCGCTCCTGCTCCACCTCATCCTGGGCCTGGGTCATGGCTGGCTTCAGCCAGTGCTGCACATCCAGGCCAGCCCCCTGCAGCAGGGCCAGCCGGGCAGCCCCCTTCACTTGGCTCACCTGGTATGGGAAGGAGGGAGGTTAATGGAACCTGGCCAACTCTATCTACCCTCCGTCTCCACCCACCCACTCCTACCATCAGAAAAAGGGTGCAGTGGGGGTGCCTGAGAAGATGGGATCTCAGTGGCTCTCACCCCCAGGACTGTGCCTCACCTGTGCCCGCCGGATGCTCTCCCTAACTTCCTGTAGCCGCTGTTCTATGCCTGGAGCTTCCCGCTCTGGGGCCTGCTGCCGCCTCTGCTCCAGTCGCTGCAGCACCTGGTTGGGGAAGCAGAGGACGGGTGGGCGGAGACACATACTTTGGGCTTGTACTTTGCGAGTTGCACCACATGCATTATGTCATTTAATCTTCCCTATGAGGTGAATGCTATTATTAGCTCCACTACAGTGATGAGAAAACTGAAGTCCAAAGAGGTTAAATCATTCTCTAACCCAAGATTTCAGAACTAGGAAGCCACAGAAGAGAATTTGAACCCAAGCTGGTCTAGCTCCAAAAGCTGTGCTCTTAACTATTGTATCATACTGTTGCTTTAAAATACCTCCACAGCTCCATGACACTCCCAGTTACTCCAGGTCCCCATTTCTCAGCTCTTCTTGCCCACCCATAACACCCATGCCCCCCACCTCACCCGACGCC